GGGCGGGACGCGGGGGGCGGCCGCCCGCGCCCTCCCGCCATCCCCCTCCCCTCGCCCTAACTGCGCAACAATTAAATGCGCAACAAGGCGGCCCCTCCCCCACCCGAGAGGAGGGCGCGCGCTCCAGACTCTCCCCACCCAGGCCGGCCCGGCCGGCCCCTCACCCCCTGGTCTAGACTGAGGGCATTTTCCACCGCCACATGACTCATAACGAGGGCGCGTCACGGGAGGTCTGGCTCCGCGTAAAGAGAGTTGCTCAGGCCGGATTTCGAACTCGCTGCCGCCGCCGCTGCTACCGCCGCGCTCCGCTCGCGTCTCTAACTGAAACCCCCCCGCCTCGGCCCCGGCCTTTATATACCACCGCCCCCGCTGGCGCGCTGACCTCAGCACGCAAGCTCCGCCCCTTCCGAGCGCGTGCGCGAGACCGAGAGCCCGGCGGCTGGGTTCTCGCGAGAAGAATCGGCCGCTCCGCGCTAGGGAATGGGAGGAAAGGCTGGCTTCTCGCGAGAGCTGCGCCGGCTCTTGCGAAGACCCTCAGTAGAAGGCCGAGAGGAGGCAGCGGAATCTCTATAAGTGGTGGGGGGAAGTCTCTGCAAGATCCCGCGAGATTTCCTTCGCCTCGGCCTCTAGAAGAAAGGCCGGCTGGACGTCGCGCGAGATGGCTGCCTCGCCCCCCACCCCGTCTTCTTTGAAGACCTCGCGAGACTTCCCGGCCCTCGGCCCGCGCGGCGATGTCTCTAGAAGGAGTCGGAACCTAGGTCACGTGGGCGGCCCCGCCGGGGCTCGCCGCCATCTTGTGAGCTGCGCGGCGCTGTGGCGCAGGCTCTTAATGGAGGAAGCGGCCGGGCCTGGAGGCTCGATCGTCGTCAGCGGGCATGTCCGCAGCCTGCCCCGCGCGGCCCGAGTGTGACCTGCGGCGGGAGCCCGGCAACGCCCGCGGGTGTCACTCGTGATGCATGGGGCACCCCGGGCAGGGCGGCTGTCCCCGCACCACCCTGACCCTGCCTGCCCGGCATCTGGCCCACGAGGTGCCTGGGCAGCCCTCTGGGCCTTGCTCTCTCTCTCTCTCTCTCTTCCCCCCCCCCCAGGGCCCCTGCTTGTACCCTTCTGCTGCTTGTACCCTTCTGCTGTTCAAGGTGCTGGGCTCCATGCACCAGGCTTCCCTCTTCCTGTCTGCTTCAAAAGCCAACTGTGACACTGTGTCTGGAGCAGCCCAAACTCCCTCCTCCCCAGGTGCCCACCTTTGTCACCTCACTGCAGCTGCTTCCCTGACCCTGCATCAGGCCTCAAGATGGACACAACCCAGCTGCATACTGCAGGCTTCTTGGCCAGGGAGAAAAGTGACACCTAAAGTAAACTGGTTGGAGCAAGTGATTGGAAACGGATTCAAAGCTGCAACGCCACAGAAATTCAGTACATCTTTCCCTCCAGGAGCAGCACACCCCCACTGCAGATGCTTCCTCAGCCTGACACAGGGTATTTATACCCAAAAGCTTGCTAAGAAGAATTTTTCCAACTTTGTGAGTTGGTCTAATAAGAGATACCAGATTTACCCAAAGAGCCTTGTCTGCCCATGTCCTCAGACCAACACAGCTACAACCTACACCCCTGTGCATATGTAAACCTGCTGTCAAAATGGCCAAAAACACGGTTTAAGATTGACCTGGATGGCTGTAGTATCAGACTTTGCCAATTTAGGTTAAATTGGTTTGTTGAAATTCAGTCCTAGATCCCCTCCAGATTCAAGTCAACTCATAGTCCCCCAGCATCCCGGGATGCTTTGCATTTCCCCCACAGGGTGGGCAGGCTAGCCTTGGCCCAAGCTGTCTGCTCCAGCAGAGCAGGGAGACATGCTCTAGTGCCTGCCCTCAGCTTCCAGCTTGGGCCAATGCAAGCATGTGGCTGCATTTCCAGAATCAAAAGTCAACCTGCTCACTTGCTTATTGGTTCAATCTACACAGTTGAGTTTAACCTGTGAAGACTGAATCTATTCATTCAGCCTCAGGCTTTTGATTGTCTGTACTTAGCCCTTGTGTTCCTGAAGGCACCCCCCACCCTGCCTCAGATCAGGGGTGAGTGATGTAGGGATAACTGGTTTCCCTAGTGTTGTCAGCCTTGATCACCCCATAATTCTATCAGCATTCAGAAAGCCAGTGGTTTATCCTCCCCTGAAGCTCCACCTTGCTGCTATAGGTGCAGGTTATCAGTCTGTGACCATAGGTGATGAACAAGAGTTTCAGTGTACAAATCATAGTCATTTGACTATCACAGCTCTTCCCCACTCCTCACCCCACCCTGTCTACATCCACTTACTGCAACAGATTACAAACCTAAGACCTGGTCCTTCAAATACTTGTAAACTGAGTTGTACTCATGTTGAGTAGTCCCATCAAGGTTACGGAGGTTGTCCGCAGGGTGTTTGCAGACCCACAGCCTTCAAGGTCTCAGGGGTAGAAAGTGTCTTGTAGAAACATGTTACTTAATAAATTGTTTCACTCAAGCAAGCAATAGCCAATGCTTATAGGTAACAGGATGGCAGTAGTCATCATCATACCCTCCATGCATGGTTTCTTCCTCCACCACAAAACACAGGTTGAGAGAGGATACCCAAGAAGTGCTAGTTGAGCCAGCAAACAAAATTTCTCTCATACCTATTTGAGCTTCAGTAGCTCTCAAATTTACACTCAAGAGTTTTCCACACAACTCTCCTTGAAGTTGAAGCCATCTGTCTCAAGGGATTAAACCCTAGCAGGCTTTGCACACACAAATAAATCCCACAGTGAGTTTGTATGCAACCCGTTTCCCCAGACATGCTAAACAACTCTATTAAGGAGTACAGTTTCTGTCTTTTTTTAAATAAAATATTTACCATTCTTCTGCTTTGTTCCTCCATAACACTCTCTTAACCAACTGAATCCCAATAAAGTTAAAAGATTATGTGCCTGTGCATCTTCCCCAGATGCTTCTATTTATACACTTTGAATGCCTGCAGGTGATCTTCCTCTCACAAATAATGTAAGATGGAAGTCTTCCCCCTCCTCCCCCCAGTAGTTCTACAATTTAAAGGAAAGCTGTTGGGAGTTTATTCCCCAAACATAGTTTTAGGGGAAGCAAGAATATCTGATACCATATATTATTATAATATTTGCATTCATTTTTTTCTTCTAATTTTCAAGGAAAATAAATGTTTGATTTAAACATTCGCTGATACACTGGTATTGTTTTCAATAATGCACCCAGAATCTTAAATGGCATTAACCAATCCCTGTTCAGTCTATGAGCCACAAAGGGATTATTTTAATTTAGATTCTTATCCTACAGTTTGTTATGTGAAAGTAGACCCCCTTATCCTCCTGAAACTCTCTGAAGGTGATGGAGTTCTAGAGGAGCGCAAAGGCTTATCTCATGCATCACACTAGAGGCTCAGAGGTTAATTGAAGTCTACCCACACAAAGCAAATGGCAGGTATAGGGTCCTGTGCATGAGGTTAACTTTTTCCATGAGTTATCCCCCCCCCGAGTAGAAAGAATATCTGTTCTTATTTTCTAATTTGATAGTGCTGTGTATATAGCCAGTTTCACTGTTTCTCCCCGCTATAGTCAGTCATTCAGCACTAATTCTGTAAAGGGACATATAGGTATTTAACAGCTACAGTAGGCCCCTGAGTCCAGTCTTAGCTGCCACTGAGATCCTGAAACTCCTCTTTAGCTGGTGCCTAACTTTGCAGTTGCTGTTTTCTGCTCGTAGGCACCCACAACACTATTTCTCTTGACACTGCTGAGCAGATCAGTTCTGCTCTGCACCTAAACTCCAGCAAACTGTATTCCCCTGCCTCTTTCACATGCTTACTGGATCAGGACATGCATTCCCAAAGCATATCTACCAGATCAGGGCTCACACACAGAACAACTGGGGACAAGAATTCTCTGCCTTGGTGTCTCGCTTTACCCAGTGGTCTGGTGGTTAAGGCGCACATGGCCAAGGTGAGAGACTTTCTCCCTCATATAGAGGAAGAACTTGAATATGCTGGGAGAATGCTGGAGCCACTAAACTATTACCTAATCTGCAGTAGGCTGAGTTTTCCCTAGTCTGTCCTGTTGAAGCTGTTCTCCTAAGTAAAAAAAAACAATTTTCACTGAAAGAGAGGACAAAGCATGACTTTCCAGCTTGACAGCTAGGGCACTTACCTAAGATATGGCAGAGTAGGGTTCAAGTATCGGCTGCAGTGAATAATTAATTAGACAAAGCAAAACAGCCCCAGCTAGCTATCCTAAAATACCTGATAGTTTGCTTGCTAGGACACTCCTGAAAGATAGCAGACCTAGATTCAAGTCCTTTTAAATCAGGAATTTAAAAGCAGGTGATTCCTACTGAGCTATTGGCTTTAATAGAATGGCTGTCACTTTTTGAGAAGGAGCTGAACAGGTCTATGTACCTATCTCCAGGAGATGTTTTTCAGCTGAAAATCTTAAGAAGCAATAGGTGCCCTTGTAGCCTGATTTTACTTTTGAAAAGAGAAAGGTAGTTAGCCCTGTTTGTCTGAAATCAGGAAGAGGGCAGGACAGAGTGGCACTTTAGGTTGCAAACAGACACTGCCTATGTGCCACCATACAAATGTGTACAGGAGCATAAAGCAAAAGCAAACATTCGCGAGCCCTTTGCCATGCCACAAATGCCCAAATCTGCACTGCTATTTTATGCCAGATGCCTGTTTGTTTCAAGGTAGGAGAGCACAAGCAACCCAGAGCTGCCCGCACTCTCCAGTCTCTTTGGACAGGCACTCTGGGAGCTCCAAGGGTCCAGTCCTGCAGACCCCAGGAATTCCCCTGCCCATGTCTCCCTGTTTCTCAAGGCGGGCCCTAATTCCAACTCAGGTGTGGTTCTGCAAATGGGGAAACCTCAGGGATCCCTATGTGAGCCTCTGCAAACACGAAAATGGTCTTCCCATTTGCAGAAGCATGCCCTGAGTCAGAATCAGCGCGTGCCTTGGGAAAAGAAGAAACCTGGGCAGGCACTCCCAGAACTTGAGGGGACTGAATCGGATTCCCTGGACATACCTCTGCAAGTAGGGAAACCCAGGGTTCCCCCATTTGCATAGGTGCTCCCCAAGTGTTGTCCCACTTGTGGGACTGGCAGAGGCCCAAGCCCACAGGACATCTGTTTTGCTCAATGAAACAAATCAACTGTTCCAGAAGGCATCCCAGCACAGCTGATCTGCTTCATTTGGTGATGTTTGTTTATAGCCTTAGAGACTAATTAATTCAGAGAAGTTCCTCTGAATTAGTCTGAGGTGCCACTCTGCCCTGCCTCATACTTTTGAGAAGTAGGGCATAGGCCCAG